CAGAGGGAGCCGAGATCATCATTTGCACTCCAGGGCGCTTGGAGGTGCAATTCGTACCCAGAAGTTGTTGTCAGATTTGCTGTCTTGAGGACTTCCTGGATCGCGGTGTGGTGAGCATGAAAAATGCTTGACTCCAAGTGAACAAAGCTTCGCAGTAGCATCAATGGGTCACGTAGCAGCAGAACATGTTCCGTTTTAGCTGTGGAGCCAGGGAGAGGCAGTGTGCCCAGGTTCGCTACTGTATCTTAGACGAGGCTGTCGCCTAAGAACATATTTGAAGACAGAACAGATGACTCAAATGACAAGCACATATATATATATATATATGTATATATATATATATATATCCATACATAAAGTATATGTGCATCTGGCAATGATGCAGATGCTGTGGTATTTTGAGTGATCATGCATGGTGCGTGTGTGCGAGTGATGTAGCATAGGCTGATCGAATGCTGGACATGGGCTTCGAGCCGCAGATCAGATCCATCATTGAAGGCACTTTGCGCGTGTGTCATTCCGATGCCAGTGTGGGGGTGGTTCAGAAGGTCGAGTCCTGTTCTAGCATTTCCTGCGTAGGCCATGGAATGCCAGAGCCTGGGCACTGCCCTTAAGTTTGCACGTGTTGTGCTGGCAGCTGCACCACTTGACAATCCTTGGGAGAGAACGAGATCAGTGGTGCAAGGAGGGAAGACGGCCGGCAGACCATGATGTTCTCAGCCACCTTCCCTCGAGAAATGCAGGCATGACCAGCTCGGGATTTCATTGGCCTTACATGTGTTAGATGACTTCGCCTGTTTGACAGCCAGAACAGAACAGTTTGTGCAGTCAAATGCACAGCTTGAGCCTTTGCATCTTGCGTGCAAGGACCTGGCCTTGGACTTTTTGGATCCTACCTACCTGCAGAGAGCTTAGCAAGCAGAAGCACGGTGCAATTTCTTCATTTCTCACTGCCACTTCAGTGGCTGGCGCGCCGCACATATTTTCTCCACTTCTGCAGCTCAATGCCCGGGGGGGATTGTATACTTTGCTCTGAACACTTGACAATTTTGCGCAGGTGGATTGCTGTTGGGCGAGTGGGAGAGGCATGTGCGAATGTTGCCTGATACTTAGTGGTTTTTGTGGCAGGCTCCCTTGAGTGATGCCGTGTTGAAGGTACAGCGCTTCCAGGATGCAAGTACCACAGTTGGTTTCCCAGATCATTCTGGCGCGCAAAGCCACTTGCTGAAAGTTCGTTGTTTTCGACCAGCTCGTCTCCAAGGACTTGGATGGCAAATTTGAGATGCTGGTGGAGGCGGTAAGGGAGGCCTGGAGTTGAACACTTTCCGTCACTGCATGCGGGTGTCAGACGTGAGAGCGGATAGCCAGCAAACTTTCCACCTCACTTTGACGGCAAGGTGGGGACAGAAGGCGACGAGAAAGTTGCGAAGACCCTCGTGTTTGCCAACTCCAAGCGAGGGCTCCAGCAGAAATGCACAACAGCATCTATACAAAATTGATATATTGTTGTTCTTCAAGATCAAAGTAGCCCAGAGTCCAAGGACCACTGTCGATGCCATTTGCTGGAGATTGTCAGACGCACGAGTCAGGAGTGGGATTTGGAATTCAACGATTTGGCTTGAATTGCCATTTTGATTGCTTATTTGCCTGTTTGCTTTGCTATGAATTTGTCCAGCTGCCTACCAAGGAGTATGCAGATCCATGGCGGCTTGTCGCAGGCACTGGTTGTGCTTTTACACCAATGAAGTCTTTTTATGGCAGGCTGCCCGCGATCGCGCTTTGAATGACTTCCGGAACGGTCGCGTGAGCGTTCAGCTCCCATTACAAGCCATCAGATAGGCATGTTCTCTGTGCAGCACTTGAGGTTCTTGTCGCCACGGATGTGGCAGCAAGAGGTTTAGATCTTCCAGGACAGTTCCAGCGGGTTTGTTTTTGCTACAAGCAATGGCACAGTGGGGCGTGTTGGAGGCGTGGACCACGTCATCAACTACGAGCTTCCGTTGAATGCAGAGGATACCGCTTTGTGGCGTGAGACCTCGAACTTCCGCTGTTTGAATTGCTTCCAACCGCAGATTGGATTGACGCAGCGTGTTTTGCTACGGATGCTTTGATGTCAGGACTACACACACCGAATTGGCCGCACCGGGCGCATTGGGACTGTCGGCTTTGCATTATGCACCAGCTGCAAGCTCGCCCATGTGCCTACTCGTTAGGATGCTGAATAGAGTATGTTTTTTTTGGAGAGGGGGCTGGAGAACAATTCTCCATCCCATGTCAGCAAGTGCTAATGCATGATTGGATATGATTTGATGTATGCGTCAGGAATACTGGACTGTCCACCTCCTTAGTGGGCAGCTGGGAGCCTGCCCTCAAGGATATCGTGACGTGCCTGGCTTACTTAAGCATGTTAGCCGTGAAGCCGGTGTCTGCAGTTTTACGCATGCAGATGCAGATGTTGCTTACTTCTTTTCGCACCGAGAGAGCAAGCACTTGTGTCAATTTACTTGACCCTCCACTCAGCATGTATCTTGTGAACACGTTTTGTTGTCTTGTCCAGCCGTGCTACCTGGATCCGTTGCGGTTGTGAGCATAGTCTGGACTCCTGCTGATTCCACTTTGGTGAATGTGAAATGGGAACATCGTTTTTGCCAATGAAATAGTGAATGGGACAGTTGAGGTCCATCCGCGACATGGAATCCGTGACCATACCTGAGCTTTTGCCCTAGCAAGTCCTCACCCGCATCAGGCTGATGGCTCATAGTTTGCTCATCCAAGGTGGCTTAACTTTCACCACAATAGCGGCAGCCGCTCAACGCGCGGCCGCTTTTCTGGCAACTATAACCAAAGCAGGTCTGTTGACCGGGATCCGAACGAATTCAACCCAGGCCAGATTGATTTCTGCATCTTGCTTTTGATTCTGCTTCTTGAGCATTAGAGGCACAGCTGCCTGTCTGGAGGCTACAGCAGGCGCAGTCAGGGCCGTCAAGGAGGATATCGGGCAGCTGCCCCAGACGAGCGGCCTAGCGGCCAGTCCGAGTGTAAAGGCCTAGAGGCCTATTGGGATCCTGTGAGACGCCGAGGCCAGCTCAGCTCGAAGCAACTCCCCCAGCGCCATTTGACGTGTGGAAGGATTCATGCGCGTAACATTGCAACGAAAAGGTGGCGGCCGTGGCGGCCGTGGCGGCCGAGGCCGTGAGCCAGACGATAATTTGCCGCTCTCTCTATACATTACGTGTGCGGGCAATTCAATAGCAATATGGCAGAGAACAGAACGAGAGCAGACAGAATATACAAGGACAACAGAATGGAGCAGCAGGAACACAGAAGAACACAGATGCTCGCAGTTGGCAAACATTTCTGATTGTTGAATAACTCAGAAGGAAACGGTGAGAACAGAGGATGGCGCACAACACAACAAAGGCATCCAGAAGATGCAACTCTGGGGAACGGAAGAATGACAGGAAGAAACCAGAAGTATGGCAGTCGCGAGAGTTGTAATGTTGCATCTTGACCCATAGTCAAGTGATGCAGTTAGCGACCAGGGTGTTGCCAAGGCCCCCATGGGCACGTGGATTGCCCCCGCGGCAAAGAACGCGATGATGGAGGCCGCCTTGCCGATTTTAGTGTGTTGGGAGCACGCAATGTTCGCTTTGCCGAGCCATGCAAGCGGCCATGCCTTTGTGTGTTTGAATATAACCAATAAGCGAATTGCGCGCAAGTCTAGAAAGAAATGCCTCTGATTCGAGCTTGACAGAGGTGAGGGGCTCAGCAAGAGCACTTGAAGTTTCCGGTTTGCATGCTCTCAAAGTAGACACGCGCCGAGCTTTCATGCTGACAGCGCGCCCAGGATGTTGGATCTGATGAGGCTCAGGCTCTGAGGCTCTCGGGCAGTTTCACGGACATAAAGGCCCGTTTGGAAATGGCAAGCTGCGCCAGTTGGCCAACTGCCAAAGATGCGCCGCCAGCTGCAAGCTATGCAAGGGTTGTGTATGCGTAGCAACGTTGCAAGCCGTCCTGCTTCTCCCAGTGTGCTTTGGAAGTGGACGGTCCAGCTGGTGTTTGCTGCAGTCGCCAGCAGGGTTTTGGAAGCAGTTTTTGCAAATCTCTGCTGCCACACAGCCTCTTCAGGCACTGATGGATTAGGAGTTTCAGCAGCAGGCAAAGAATGGATTTGCAATGACTTTGGCCTTGGGTATCCGGGGCCTGGTGCAAGTGCGGCACGCGCTGACAGAGACAGACACAGATCCGACACCTCTGCTTTCTCAAGCTGCGCAGCTCACACAAGCCCATTCATGGGGCCATCAAGCCAACGCTGGCTCCACATTGCATGGCAGCGTCACACTGCAGGGCCGCCCCTTGGCCAGTCACATCTCTAGCTTTTCACATCCTCAGGTGTTGTGCAGTGGGCAGACATCAAATCAAATGGACAACCGACAAAAACATAACATCTGGTAGTTTATTGTTGGTTTGGGGGAGGAGGCCCAGGCAGTCTTCCCATGTCCTCTTGGAGAAGCAAGTCATTTTGTCCGAAAGGCGTGAATCGGCGCCATGGTGGAGCAAGGAGACAAATATAGCCCAGCCCGAGGCCGGCAATCTGCTGGGAGCAAATCTGGTGCAAGGTTCCCCGCGCAGAAGCTAGGGCGGTTTTGGTCACCCTGGGACGGGCAATTCAAACACAAATGCCATGGTGCACCTTCCGGAAAGGAACTCTTGTACTCGCTCTCCCTTCACTCCGCCGTTCAAGAGTGCAACGAGACAAAGTCTGGACATTTCGCCCAGAAGCTGCCTCACTGCTTAGCAAGTATTTTTTATCAATGTCAGATCCAGCTATGCTCAACCACTCAGCGGGCAAGGACAACATATTGCGAGTGTTTACTGTTTCAGGCTTGCAGCTTCCTATGTCATGGATTTTGCAGATGGCTTGCCCGAGTGTGCATTTTCTTCGGAACTGACATGACATTGACCTCAGCAAGCACATTGCAACCAAAGTCGAAATCTCGCAAAGCTTTGTTTGCAACGGTTCAAAGCGCAAAGCGCGACAGGCTCTATGCTAGGTGAATGTTTGGCCACGCGCTCAGCAAGTGGGATGACATGGTTTCGGCATGTGATGTTTTTTTTCATGGAGCCACGTTTGGCGAGGATAGCATGTTTTGTTTGTTGTGGCCAACGGCCAAAGACACCCATTGATTTTCGTCAGGTTGAGGTCCTGGATGGGATGGAGGAGCAGGCAAGAACTTTCTGCAGGTAGAAGATACCAGTGGATTCAAGCAGACAAGTGGCGGCATTTGATGACGAGCACGTTGGTTCTTCTCCAAAATTTCTGTACAGCAGGTAAGGTTTGTCGCGCACCCTTGCACATGCACAAGCACGCACAAATACGAAATCGCAAACGACGAAGACGAACAACAACTGGTGTCAATGTCGACCAGATTAGTTTACAGAGAGCTCAACATCTACTTTTAGTCGACGAACAACTTTTTCTTTGGCTCACACCACGGTGATGCTGGCGGTGTGTACCATCCTCTGCGTCCCTAGTCGACACCCCCAGTATCCCGCGTTGACCATGCAAGCCTGTCCCAGGGTGGAATCATGCCCCAGAGGATGCACAAAACAGAAATATGATTAGCTAAACACCAAGAGAATTTGGTCCGAGCAGGGTAGTCTGGGCAACAGTGTCTCATGTAACGGTCAAATGCTGAACGTAATAAGCTATAATGGTGGACACCACCAGCATCCTTGTGGCTACAAGTCGAATACGTGTAGCTGCGGGGATGCTGGTGGTGTCGACCAGCTTCGCCTTCAGGGTATGGCCTGAGATGGGTGTGCAGGACTTTGGGCCATCCTTGCGTGTTCTACGCGCCATTTGCTTCCCAGGCGCCTCCCCCTTTTTGGGAAGAAGGGGTCGGTGCATTACATGCCGGCGCATAGTACTGGCAACTCTCAACCCACACGATGTCAAGAGTCAACCATACCATCTTGCACCGCAACGCTGATTTTTTGTTCAGCCACCACAAGCTATTTGACCCATTGTGGGTTTCAGTCTGTAGCGTCCACTGCTATCCCAAATACTTCGGTGTAGTGCGCTGCGCTGATGAGGGTAGACGTGCCAGCCAAAGGTACTGGCCGGCTGCAGGGCACTTCTAGACTCGGAATTTATACGTTGGCATACCTGGAAAGGGCCAACTACACGGGACGTTTTACATGTTGGTTGCATACCTGACATTTGCTTGCAGTATGCACACCGCATTCTTGAACAGCCTGCTTCCACGGGACGAGGTACAGTTTGCTTTATGAAAAGTGGCAAACATTACATTGGATTGGTACAGTGTGGCTTTGTTGCGAGACGGAGCTGGGAAAAAGAAAACAGAGGCACATCTCAGCACAAGCGCAGAAACAAAGACACAGACAGGAAAGGCAAAGCCACAGGCGCGCCCATGCGTGACAAAGCAAGCCAGAGACAATTGCTGCCGAAGGCCGAGATGAGCCCGGAAAAGCGCAAAAAGGCAGGAAGCTTGGGCTTGGGTAAGCAAACGGGGACGAAGAATGGCCAATGCTCAAACAACAAAATACATTAGGCACGCTACCAAAGTGCCACTAGAAAATTAGATTATTCACCAAGTTTCCATGTCAGTGGGGGACAGGATAAGTATTGACTGTGGCTCGTAAGAAGCCCAAGCACGTTGGACATGCAGTCAGGGCTTGTGGCTTGTTGGGGGATTTGGCTGCACAGTCTTCTGGCTTGATATGGACAGGTCAGATTTTGCCCAAGTTTGGCTAGCAGGATGGCAAGTTGGCCGGCGGGCTGGGTAGCGAAGCCTAGACCAATGTTGCAGCCATTCATGGCCCAACACCAACACAAGGCAACCAGGAAAAGGCAAACCTCAGCAGATTTCAACTGTTCTGGTCATGTTTGGTTCAAGCTCTTTGGGAGCTTATATCATTTCAGTCGTCGCCCCTGAGCAAAAGGCAGCTGATTTGCTGTGTACCTTGGAATGTGCCTTTGGTTGGTTGGACAAGAACATCACACTCACTTCACTTGCCTCAGGTCCTGTTGGCCTTTGAGACTGCCTTTGCCGAGGAGATGTCAAAGCTGCCGTGAGCTCAGGTGGCTTGCATGATATCTTGAAAGCTAATTGCCATGTGGGGCTTCATATGTGCGTCCCAGATGGTTTTCAAATGCTCATGCATTGGCTCAGAATAGCGGTGTTTGCCAGGCATTGACATCCATCACGTTTCAAGTGCCATGTGTTCTAGTCGAAACGAATGCAAGACACATGATAGGTTTCTTCGGACGTTTAGACTCACTTTGTTTTAGTTTCCACAGAGCCTGTAGAGCTCCGCATTCGGAGCCAGATCACCAGCTCTCAGCCCAGACCCAGCAAGACTGACGCATTTGTGAAGTGCATCCGATGGGTCCGGCCCAAGTGGAAACTCCGAGGGAGGCTCGGGCGTGGGCTGCTGTATTTGTTCCCAAGCAGTTGCTGCTTGATTTGCTTGGAAACTTGCCAGTGCAGTCACACATATGCAGGGAACAAACCGGACGCAGCCGTCCTGACTGCTTGTCAGGATGAACCGTCTCTTGACTTCTGCAAGGTCCGCTGCCAATTCGACACAAAGCCAAGAGTCATTGCATGCTTGCGCTTGTTAGCTGGCTCGTTTCAGGTGGCTCGCCAGCTCAGGGCGCTGTGGGTGCCTGTCCTCTTTGGTGGGGTGAGCACTGGAATTCAGGCAACGAACTTGTCTTACTTGGGTTGCTGGTCTGCATACACAAAATCGACCTTCTACGCTGCGGGTGTTGTGCTGAGAGTGTCGACTGTCAACATTGTAGCAAGGCACCAGTTTCTCTGAATAAGTTGCCAAGCTGAGTACTATACTTTTGCAAAGGTTGTCTTCAACGCAGCTCAGGCTTAAACTTTTTTGCTCAGCAGTACACAGATCACAGGCAGGATGCAGACCTCTTTTGTCACTAGAATCTTGGTTCTTGCAGTTTTTGCGGCGCATAGTCAGTTGCGGTTGGGAAGCCCCTCTCGTGAAGCTTGAGGCCGGAAGACATTCGCTGTGAGGAGACGCCCGAGGCAGCATACTGCCAGGCACCCTTGGCATCGCTAGACGTTGAACACTGCTATAGCATGTGTGGTCCAGTGGTGTGTTGAAGCGCTGGATATTCAAGCCAAGTTGCAGGCGGCAATCAGCGACAACCTCTTCTGGGCAACGACAGTAGGCGCACGTGGTTGTTCTATCACGCAATTTGCATGCGTTTTGTCAAACACTTAGTGCATGAGAAGAGAGAGAGAGAGAGAGAGAGAGAGAGAGAGTGTGGAGCCAGCAGCACAAATCTCAGCCGGTTGACCGGGCCTGCATCGCCGCATAGGGGTAATGAGCAAGCTATGACTCCATGACTCATGCATTTGCATTCACGTGAGCGCAGAGTCCACCAAATCCGGTTGGCGGTGTTGTGGTGGTGGTGGTGGTGGTGGTGGTGGTGGTGGTGGCGGAAGCTTGTGATGGTCGGTGCTGATGGTTGGTGGTGATGAACGGTGATGATGGTAGGTGCTGATGGTCGGTGCTGATGGTCGGTGCTGATGGTCGGTGCTGGTGGTTCTTTTGTTGGTTGTCGGTTGTCGATTGTGGGTTGGGGTTGCAATGACGTCCTTACGTCCTGTCTTTGTTGATTTTGCTCTTGTCTTTGCTCTCGTTCTTGCTGCTTCCTTTGTTTCTGCCTGCTTTGTCTGCTACTATTGTTGTTTGCTTTTTGTTGGTTTTTCCGTTTCGCAAGAACCACCTGCTCTAAGTTGCTTTCAGAAGTGGTGTACCGAAAAGCACGGCTCCAACACTGTCTTCTTGTTTGGGCCGAGTGTTGTTAACCGGCTGCCTTTGTACACTCCACAATTGCTATTGCCTGCAGCGGGTTATTTCTTGCTTTTTTGTTTGCATGAGCTCTCTTTTGCTGCTTGCTTTATTCTTTGCCAATGCTTTGTGCTTGGTTCAAGTGTCTTCTTGCTGGAGCTTAGCCTGCGTACACTGCGCTGTTGCCATTTTGAAGCACATCTTCGACCTGAAGCGGCTGCGTGAGATCTGTTTTATTGCATACTCATTTGGGCCACAGTTGAAGGCCTTCAAGCGAGTTGATATTCAGTACCTGGCCTGACTGATGCATGCTTGGTTTGCTGTCATTGTGGTTCTGCTTTTTGACTAGTAAATACTACAATCATTCCATCGCATATGCCCTCTGCGAGTCTCAAAGAAGGAGGCGGTTTGAACCAAGAGAGGCCACTTGCGCTTAACATACATGCATACAGCATACAAACAAGCAAGCAAGCAAGCAAACAAACAAACATACATACATACGTACATACATGCATGCATGCATGCATGCATGCATGCATACATACATACAGATGGAACAACCCCCCAAAACCTAGGTTTGTTCCTTTGGTAGACCTAAAACAGTGCAACATGATTTCACAACCCTGAAGCAATGCACACTTATCTGCTTCTTGCAGGTGAATTCAGGCACAAACAACCACAGACTGGGAAAATGCACGTTCGTCCCATGTTCGCCACTTTTCACTGGCCCCTTTTTCCTTCTGGAAGCTCACCTTTTTTTCCCAGCCAAAGTAGAACAGTGAAACGTCACGCTTTTAGACCAATGAAAATTAACAAGTAAACATACCAAACGCAGTACTTATTTTATTTCGGGTATTCTAACGTTTTAGTTTTCATAGGTCCAGCAGTTGTAGTTTCATTTGGTTTACTTTTGCAGGGGAAAGGTAAAACATGAAAATCTTCAAGAAGTAAAAAGGGGCCAATGTCCAATGCCAAAACCGCAAATGCATTTTCCATGTGTGTTTTTCTACTTCAGAGCCTCCGGCAGGTCCTCCAGGCCATGAAGCCTCTTTGAGGCCCTTAAGCCCCTTAAGCCCCTTAAGCCCCTTGAGGCCCTCAGAGCCTTTGAGGTTTCTTAAGATGTGGCTGAACGTCTGCAAAGCTGAATGGCTCGAAATCAAACACTTAAGGGCTTAATATCTTAATGTCTTAGTGGTTTAAACTCTTAATGCCTGAACATCTTGAAATATTAATCGCTGAACGCCTTAAGATCTTTATGGATGAGCATCTGAAAGTCTTGATGGCTTGCATTAATAGAATCTTAGCGGCTTACCGTGTTAAACTCCTGACGGCTTAAAGTCTTAACATTACAATGGCTTAAAAGCTGTTAAATCTTAAACACTTAATGGCTCATAATCCTAAAGCCGTAATGGCTTAGAATCTTGAAGTTTGATGGCCGTAGACATGCTCAATTCTTACGGATCACATCCTCAAATTCCTAGTGGCTTAACATATATTGAGATCTTAGCGGCTCAAACGCTATAAATACTAATTGCTGAATACCTTCAAGTGTGAATGTGTTAATTTCCGCGAATCCTAATGGCTTAAAATATTCAAGTCTTCATGGCTTAAAGTCTTAAATCCTTGATGGCTGAAGATATTAAAATCTTGACGGCTTAAAATCTGAACAAGTTATTGTCTGAAAGCCTTAGACTCTTAAGGGATTAAACTCTGAAAGATCTTAACGGCTTATATGCAATCTCAATAACTGAGTGCCTCAGCCTGGTAGAATCTTAATTGCTTAAAATGTTAACATCTCAGTGGCTTAAACAATTAACACCTTAGTGGCTTAACAGCTTCAAACCTTAATGACTTAACATCATCAAATCTTAATGGCTTGAAATCTGAAAATCTCAATAGATTAACATTATGCCGCAAGACACGAATAGGAACCTTTCATTTGACCCTCTGTGCTCCTTCTTTCTAGCAATGTTATTCTGATGATGCTGGTGATGCTGGTGATGCTGCGCGAGGATGCAAAAGCGATCCCCACTGCAAACCGGTATCAGACGGGGGGTGGAAGCCTCTATCGTTTTTTTTTTAGTATCCGACGAACAATGTCGGTGTTTTTGCCTGAACTGCGCAGGTATTTCTGTCGCTTTGGACTTGCCGGAAGCAGCTGAGCATGCTCTCGGTATCATTTTTCCATTGTTTTAGGTCAACGGGATGCACATGGTGCTTCAAAAGGGGCCCATCTTCATTTGCGTCTGCAAGAAGCAGTCTATATTTGTATCTTTTTGACACATAGTACATTCATGTCTTTGTCATATTCTAAATCAATTAGTTCACCGCACCGTGAACACATCTTTTCACTGTGGGATGCACAAGCTGCTTCAAAAGGGCAGTGCTTGCAACAAATGCTTCAACCACATTCGGGTTGAAGGCCCATCCTTTCATTCAACATGACAAACGCTTCTCTGAAATCCATTTGAGGACTGCTGCAACCCAGGTTTTGGAGGGGATAGCATAAAAAGGTATAAACAAAATAAATAAATATATATATATATATATACTGGTAATGAATGAACAATGTATTGTGCGGCCCTGTGCCACGCCGTGCACGTGAGATGCCCATTGCCAAGCAGTGAGTGCACCGCCTCAGGTGCGCTGGGCTCCTTTCTTCACTTCGCATTGGGACCATTCTTGGGCGCGCTGAGTGACACAATTGGACGACGCCCGGTCATCTTGTTTCGCTCTCAGAGCATGTGTATGTCTCAACACGAAGCATGTCTTAAGATGAGAGGCCCTGCCAGTCTTTTTGATATTACTGGGCGTCCTTTGCAAATGCACTGTCACTAGCTGGGCTTCCCTGCAAGTGTTTGCCTCCACGTGCCCGGTATCGGATTTTGCCGCCTTGCTTGTCCCAGGCTGTGCAGCTTGCTGGGGTATCCGAGTCTTGTATCACTTGCTCTCTTTGTTTACAGCTGCCTGACTGCAAGTCAGGAGTCAGAGCTTCTCCTACCCAGCCAGCATTGAGTGATTGTGTGCTTGAGGGCTTGAGATGATGTGGGTGATTTATTGCATTGGATTAGAGTGCATTGGATTGATGGGTCAGTGGCTTGATGGATTGAACTGGAACCATTGATTGATTGGTTTGATTGTTTGGACTGGGATGGGATGGTTTCGCTGCGTAGCTTTGTCTTGCAGACCATCCTCCGGTCGGGACTAACCTCGCAAACCACGCGCGCGCGCGCTCGCACGCACGCACCCGCCCGCCCGCCCACCCACCCACCCGCCAGCCCACCCGCCCACGCACACACACACACATGTTGGGTGCTAGTTTGCGCTGGGCAAGGAAATGTCAGCATGTACTTCACCTTCGCGCTTATGCCACTTGCAGGCACCCAACTGCGAAAATCATGGGGTGGAAGAAGCTTGACAGGCACATGAAGTGTGACTCTTGATCAGTTTCGTTCTAACGCACTCATAGATTGGTATCCCGCAGTGCTCCCTAATCAGGAACAAATTTCAGAAGCCACTTTGCAGACCTGCATCCCTGACATATCGAGCAGAGCATTACTTTCCCGTTGAACTCGTCGTGCTTTCGTGACATTTGCCGGCCAGAACTACCAGTGCTGGCTATTTGGTTTGCCTTCATCGTGGACCTGATTGAGGACACGGCCTGCGCATATGCTTGGCCATGCAGATCTTGCACATATCTTGAGCATGCGATACTAAGCTTCTGTGCGCCGGTTCTCAAGAGCTATTAGCAGTGAGAGCCGCACAACTTTCTGCACACGTCTGGGTGCAACGTGCAGGTTGATAAAGTACCTTTGTGACCTTGCGGTAGATTCAACAGATGACTTGACAACGATCCATCATCTTTGGCGTTTGAACTGAAAAACTGAACCAGAATCAAAGCGCCGACTTGTGCAAACTGGCCATGCCATGCAGCACATCTTAAACTTGCTCCCAGCCAACACTGGATGCTGTGCTCATGATGAGGCACATGACCATCGAACACTATTTATCAGAGCCTGCTCTGCAGAGGGAAATGTGCTCAGGCCTTGCCGATGCACGATGCATATTTGCATCCATCATGGCATAAACCTTCCATGCCACTCCACCCATTTGCAAGTCCTCATCAAAAGACCTCACGAAGAGCAAATCATGGAAAGCTTGCCCGTACCAGCCTCCACCACTCCCTCGTGGAATTTTTGCTTTAAAATTGATGATGTGATGACAACCCAACTCCCTGAGATTGAAATCAAGATTTGGTCAAGCAGCTTGGTGCCCGTGCTCATTGGCAGGGCCTTCTTGGAGGCAGATGGATCAGTGGTCGAGCAAGCCAGGCTTGAACGGCTCAAGCTTTGCCTGACGCCTTGCTTTCGTTCTACTTTGCCGAAGGTGGTGGCTGCGTGGCAACTCTGCCACCGCGCTGCAGCTGCGCACTTGTCTCGCATTGCATCTGTGGACATGAACTCCATTGACTACGATGCACTTTACGCACTTTGACGCGTGTGTTGACGACGGAGGTGTGGGACTCTTGCGACGGAGGGAAGCAGACGCCCTGTACTCCAAAGGGATGGTGCCTTTTTCCCTCGCCCGGCCAGCGCCTAGAAGGCGGACAGATGTGTTGTCGTCCTTTGTGCTGCCTGCCAAAGATGCAGGAGAAGCAGCATGGTCTCACGAACGTATGCTGTGACTCTTGACAGTTGTAAAAATGTGATAGGATGCGAAGTCATACAGAAGACGTTTTGCTCGGTTACGCGATTTCATGGGACCAGACTTGGGGGTGCTGGTGGTCATTCGCATTTGAAGGCCCAGACATGCATTGCTTTTGTTTGTTGGCCATAACTGTTATCATAGCGATCAGAACCCCGCAGGTGCTTTTTTCTCAAGGCTTGCAACACTCGAATTGTACTGATACCTCAATGCAGTTGTTTAAGAACCCCTTCCATTTTGTTGCGCAAGTAAGACGCAATCGGGCCTCAACACTGCACGCCAATGTGTGTTTGGTTCTCTGTTTACCTCCATGCGCGCACCCATACCTAATATCATATATACACATGGTCATGTGAGCATGTATATCTATATATGTATGTACACACACACACACACACCGCCTTGGGGCGCCTGCGTTCGCCGTCGCTCAACCATGATCAGCGCAGGTGGGTAGCATCCTGGGATAGTAGTGTACCTTATCCACTCCGCCGCCACGCCAAGGCGGCGGCGTTGGTGTGGGGGGGGGTGGGGTGGCGTCCACTGCGCCGCCACGTCGAGGTAGGGTCGTCATGCGGGGTTGGGTCGCGTGGAGTAGGAGTCCTGGCCTTGAAAGCCTGCTGCGGGCCTTCCGAAATTACTGCAGGGCAGCGGTCAAGTGAAGACGTTTGCAAGGGAAGGCGTCTGAACGCAGAGTGTGTCCCATGGCTGGCGCGGAGCTTTTGCGGCTGTCGTACGGGGGAGGGGGGGGGGGACGGGCGGCCTGGTGGATGGCCGGCGGCGAACGTAGGCCCCTGAGAGTTGACCAGTAAATATAGATAAATAAATTAATTAAAAAAATAAGTAAATGAATAAATAAATAAATAAGTAACTATATATATATACATATATACATATATATATATACACATACGTAGATATATGGCACCCTCCCTCCCAGGGACCAATCTTTTGTCAGAATTAGTTGAAGTTTACAGATTTGGACCTTGGGGAAAGCAGCAAAAAAAAAAAGTAATTCAAAGGACACGCTACAAGCTGAAGGCTTTGACACAGAGGGGTCAAATCGGACGCAAAATGTCAATCCTGCCCCCCCCCCCGAATGAAACCGAATGAAAACGAATGAAATATATTTTGATGTCCGGACTCAAGTGTCAAGATTCCAGGGAAAATCAGTCGAGACCGCTTTTATTTTAGCCCGGATTCAAGATTCCAGTGAACACTTTCGCAGGGAATCATTCGGTTTCATCCAGGACCCGGATTCAAGGTTTCAAGATTCCAGGGACAGCTTTTTCAGGGTTGAATCCAGGCCCGGATGACATTTTAGTCGGTTTGATTCGGTTGCATTGGGGGCCCGTATAGATTCAAGATTCCCTTTGAACATATTTTAACGCCTCCGGCTCAGGCCGCCGACATTACAGGCCTGCTTTCTTATTTGCGTCCCTTTGGAATTGTCCCCTTGCCCCCTTCCCCTCTGAGATTTTTGCCCCCCTTTCTTTGTTGAGATCCATTCCCCCTTTCCGCCCTAAGGCCTTTTCTCCCTCTGTTTTTTTCCCTTTTCCTCCCTAAGATGTTTTCCCCCCTCTCCCTGTTGAGATCCTTTCCCCCCTTTCCCCCCTAAGGCCTTTTCCCCCCGCTGAGATCTTCTCCCTATTCCTCCTTAAGATCCTTTGCCCCCTTTCCCTGTTGAGATCCTTTCCCCCCTTCCCTTTAAGGCCTTTCCAGATCTTCTCCCTTTTCCTTCCTAAGATTGTTTCCCCCCTTTCCCTGTTGAGATCCTTCCCACTTTTTCCCCCCTCAGGCCTTTCCCCCCCTGAGAGCTTCTCCCTTTTCCTTCCTTAGATCTTTCCCCCCTTTCCCTGTTGGCCTTTTTTCCCCCAGATCTTCTCCCTTTCCTCCCTAAGATCTTTTCCACCCCTTTCCCTGTTGAGATCATTTCTCCCCTTTCCCCCCTAAGGCCTTTGCCCCCAGATCTTCACCCCTTTCCTCCCTAAGATCTTTCCCCCCCTTTCCCTGCTCAGATCCTTTCCCCCCTTTCCTTGCTAAGGCCTTTCCCCCCCTGAGATCTTCTTTTCCCTAAGATCTTTTGCCACCTTTCCCTGTTGAGATCCATTCCCCCTTTCCCCCCCTAAGGCCCTTTCTCCCTCTGAGTTTTTCCCTTTTCCTCCCTACGATATTTTCCCCCCTCTCCCTGTTGAGATCCTTTACCTCCTTTCCCCCCTGAGGCCGTTTTTCCCCCCGCGATCTTCCCCCTTTTCCTTCCTAAGATCCTTTGCCCCCTTTCCCTGTTGAGATCCTTTCCCCCCTTTCCCCCCTTTCCCCCCTAAGGCATTTTCCCCCCCTGAGATCTTCTCCCTTGTCCTCCCCAAGATCTTTTCCCTTGGTTGAGATCCTTTCCCCCTTTCCCCCCAAGATCTTCTCCCTTTTCCTCCCTAGGATCTTCTCCCACCTTTCCCTGTTGAGCTCCTTTCCCCCTTTTCCCCCTAAGGCCTTTTCAGATCTTCTCCCTGTTCCTCCCGAAGATCCTTTGCCCCCTTTCCCTGTTGAGATCCTTTCCCCCTTTCCCCCCTAAGGCCTTTTCCCTGCCTGGGATCTTCTCCCTTTCCTCACTGAGATCTTTCCTCCCCTTTCCCTGTTGAGATCCTTTCCCTCCTTTCCTTCCTAAGGCCTTTCCCCCCGCTGAGATCTTCTCCCTATTCCTCCTTAAGATCCTTTGCCCCCTTTCCCCGTTGAGATCCTTTCCCCCCTTCCCTTTAAGTCCTTTCCAGATCTTCCCCCTTTTCCTTCTTAAGATTGTTTCCCCCCTTTCCCTGTTGAGATCCTTCCCACCCTTTCCCGCCTAAGGCCTTTCCCCCCCTGAGAGCTCCCCCAGATCTTCTCCCTTTCCTCCCTAAGATCTTTTCCACCCCTTTCCCTGTTGAGATCATTTCTCCCCTTTCCCCCCTAAGGCCTTTGTCCCCAAATCTTCTCCCTTTCCTCCCTAAGATCTTCCCCCCCCCCCCCTTTCCCTGCTGAGATCCTTTCCCCCCTAAGGCCTTTCCCACCCCTGAGAGCTTCTCCCTTTTCCTTCCTAAGATCTTTTGCCCCCTTTCCCTGTTGGGCTTTCTTCCCTAAGTCCTTTTCTCCCCAGATCTTCTCCCTTTCCTCCCGAAGATCTTCCCCCCCTTTCCTCCCTAAGATCTTTTTCATTTTTCCCTGTTGAGATCCTTTCCCCCCTTTCCCTCCCAAGGCCTTTCCCCACTTGAGAGCTTCTCCCTTTTCCTTCCTAAGATCTTTTCCCCCCTTTCCCTGTTGGGCTTTCCGCCCTAAGTCCTTTTCTCCCAGATCTTCTCCCTTTCCTCCCTAAGGCCTTCCCCCCCCTTTCCTTCCTAAGATTGTTTCCCCCCTTTCCCTGTTGAGACCCTTCCCACCCTTTCCACCCTCAGGCCTTTCCCCCCCTGAGAGCTTCTCCCTTTTCCTTCCTTAGATCTTTCCCCCCTTTCCCTGTTGGCCCTTTTTCCACCAGATCTTCCCCCTTTCCTCCCTAAGATCTTTTCCACCCCTTTCCCTGTTGAGATCATTTCTCCCCTTTCCCCCCTAAGGCCTTTGCCCCCAGATCTTCTCCCTTTCCTCCCTAAGATCTTTCCCTTCCTTTCCCTGCTCAGATCCTTTCCCCCCTTTCCCCCCTAAGGCCTTTCCCCCCCTGAGATCTTCTCCCTTTTCCTCCCTAAGATCTTTTGCCACCTTTCCCTGTTGAGATCCATTCCCCCTTTCCCCCCTAAGGCCCTTTCTCCCTCCGAGTTTTTCCCTTTTCCTCCCTACGATGTTTTCCCCCCTCTCCCTGTTGAGATCCTTTCCCTCCTTTCCCCCCTAAGGCCTTTTTTCCCCCCGCGATCTTCCCCCTTTTCCTTCCTAAGATGTTTTCCCCCCTTTCCTTGTTGAGATCCTTTCCCGCCCTTTCCCCCCTAAGGCATTT